AAAAAACCCCGCAACTTCGCTGTGGATGGAAGTCTATTTTTAGAATTCCTGGTTTTCTCTTGGCGTCACCCATATGAAATTCATATAATATGTGTACAAAGTCTAATTATTTCATAAAGCTAATAAAGTATATGTGACTGTAACACTTTTTTATGATGAACTCAATATAATAAGGTTCAACATTATTATATAATGAAGTATGTACATATATTATCTCAGTCTGATGATTTCATATAATAAACATTGCCTGGCTATAAATATTCGGTAAGCTTAAAAAATAATAAGGTTCTATTTTAAGAGTTTAAAAAAAAATTTCTTTTGAAAATACACAATATTTCTTTTCAAACATGCGTAAACGCAAAAACAGCAAGCAAAATTATGATTCTTCAAGCTCTGAACGATTATCAGATGAAAATAATTGTTATTCGTCTAAATCAATTAACATGACACAAAAAAAATCCAAAAGGTACTGATTAAAAAGAATTAACAATTTTTATATTGCGAAAGATCAACATTAATAATATAAATATCTATCAAAATAAAGTACCATTTCCTTTAAGAATAAGAAAAAGCCAACATGTATCGACCCTGTACAAAATGAGGAATCAAAAATGCTTAATGGTAATAAATGATTAAACATCATTATCATATATTATAATTTATTTATAGATCAATATTTAATAATTGTAGGTTTACAAAATCAAATAAATGAGCTAAAAGGCTTAATAGTTTCATTAGGTAGAAGCAAACAAGGAGAAATTGAACAATCAGATGATTCTAATAATATTACAAATTCATCAAAGGCCGTAAGATATGATTCTTCAAGAAATATTACTAAAAAAGTAGCAAAATCTAATCACATCTGAGTTAGATCATTGTCCAAAGATATGGCGATAGATAATAAAAGAGGTCATAATAAAGAAAGGAAACAGCTAAATTTTGCTAACAAAATAAAACAAGCAAACATGTACGAATATTAAGCTCTAGATCTCAATGCAGCAGATCTAACAGTTCTAACCAAAGCAATTCTGATCATAATGATAATATAAGCCGTTCACCTTCCTCCTCTCCATCTCGTCAATATTTACATTATCAAGATATGAATAGAGAACTGCAAAATGCATTACGAGTAATTAAATTTTTTTTTATTTTATTTTATGATTTAATTATTTTACTAATTAATTATGAAATAGCACAAAGTATTAAATATTACTGAAAGGTTGCCTCCACATTTGCAACTGGATGTTAGTAAAACTTTTCAGAGTCAGAAGAAAATCATAACTCGTATAATTATACCAACAATTCGTAAGATATTGAATAAGAAGACTTTTCTGATTGTTGATTCAGTTTTATATCATATAATTTATGAAAAGCATTGACATGATCGAGAGAAGCATACAAATCAGGAAAGAAAAACTGAATGGAAAACCCAAGAAATAAGAAGAAAACATGCAGTTTCTCGTCGAAATGATGTTAGTAAATAATACAAATTTAAATTGCTGTCTCAACTTTTACAATCTATATTTTTATTTTTCTTCTTAAATTTGAGATATGAACTGTAAAGTTGAGACACTGGTTTTTTTTTTGCATTAATTCATCTTATTTCTATCAATAGTGGCTAAAATAATTAAAATTTATTATTAACTAACTTTTTAGAAAAGGCATAAGCATGCAGGGATAATTAACTGATTACTAAAATTAAAAGATCCTTTAGTATGCAAGTTTACGAAAAGAGAAATTACCTTGTTGAGTGAAGAAACTAGTTATCATAGCCAAAAGATTCAGAAACAGATTTTGAGAGCTATGATGACAAAAAAAAAATTGTTATTAAAGATTTAGAATGGAGATCAGATACAGTAAGTACAAAATTAGTTTTTCTAATGCTATATATGTATATACGGTTGCATTGAATAAGTTTTTTTTTTAATTTTAAAAAAATTGGCTTTGTGCCTTTTTACGAGATTATATTGATTATGCATTTAATATGCATGCAAGGCGTCGTAAAACTAGAAAACATGTGTTTGATTCATTCAATTTTGCACATAATGAAATAATTGCACCACTTAATATGCCAAGATGGATGCTAGCAGGATATTCTGGCTCTATGAAACAAGTCATTGATAGATATGTAGCTAAAAAAAATATTGTCTCTTTGTTTGAAGAAGACGATCTAACAAATGGTGATAATGTTCAAGAGTGATAATTTTTTAGCTTAGCAATAGAAAAATAATCATTTCGGAATTGGTATTAGGCTAGCTTTGTATATTTTTGTGGAAAGTTTAAAGGTTTATGATGCATGTATACAGTATAATTAGAAGCCTGTCTACAAAGTGATAGGGCAAGTATTATTGCTAGATTGTAATTTTGGTTGTGTAAATTTTATCTTTTTATAGCAATAGTATTTTACAATTAAGTTTTATATTATCTATATTAAAAGCAGGTTTTGTTAGAGTATTAGAGTAGTTTCATAATTGCATACATATGATTATTGGAGTAAATTGCATATGTAAATACTGGTATCTTAGTTGATAATCATATGCCAGGGATAAAGGGCGGGTATACCTTCATATGCAAATTGTAATACCGTATAAGTGTAAAATAACTTGTGGACGTTATTTTGGAAATCAAGTTCTTTAAAAATAGTATACATGAGCCTCTTCATTTTCGTTTAAATATTTAAAGTAGGTTCACATGAGCATACTCGAAATAATTAATTAATGTGTAAGTGTTAATTCATGCCTGTACGGTACAAGGTGTCGTTTATATAGTATAGTATAGAAAATATTTAAACAGTCTTTTTAATTATATAAAGAGACTTATTCTTCATGTTGCTATCACTCATCTCATTAGGCAGCCTCTATAATCCTTTCCACTCGCCCATTCTCCCAAGAAGTTTTTTTTTGGTGCTAGATAAAATAACAAATGAACGAATCTATATTATTTTTTCAAGTGATAGAATAAATATCACAGCTGCAGAGGCAACATAAGAACCAATTTTTAATAATTAGTGCCTTTGTAATACAATAATATGAGCTTCTTTACATTAGCAAATCAAATGAAGGATCATTAACTCTGTTACTTCCAATCTCTGCAAACTTTGTGCTAGATTTGCCAAATTTACTAAATTTGCAGAATCCCAGTTCAGTCTGCTTATTATTGATATATATAATTTGTAGAATTTGAGGCATAGTTTATTGTGGTGTGCAGTGTACTATGTAAATCAAATAAAATTTATTAATAAAGATTTTCTGATAATTTTAGAACTAAATAGATGTATATCCTTAACAGCTTGACAATTTTGGATAAAATTTTATAAGAACCAGTATTATATCTCTACAAACAAAGTTACAGAGTCTTTTCTTTTATTTAATATGAAAAATTTTAATATATTATTTTTTTTAAAAAAAATAAATCAAGTAGAAGAGACTTAATTTAGTTTCTTTTTTAAAGAAATAGCTCTATAGTTCTGTTTGTAAAGATATAATACAGGTCTTTGTAAAATTTATCCAAAACTATTGAGCCGTTAGTAAAATATTTTAATAATTATTATAAAATTTATTGGCTATCAAAAAATTCGAAAAACCTTTATTAATAAAATTTATTATATAGGATCTTTACTAAGAAAATTATCTTTCGAGTCTATGTTGATTTTGTGAATAGAAATTAAATTTGCTAGCCATCTAGCTATCCAATTCGAATGACCTTTTTTTTATTTTTGTAGAGCTTATTTAGCTTTACAAAATAACAAAAACATTCAAATTAGATAACTAGAAGTCAAGCAAATTTAACTTTTATTCACAAAATCAATATAACTTAGAAGGGCCATTTTCTTAGCTAACAGATCTACGCTAGATTTAGTATTGCAATATGTGTGGTAGAGATGTTAGTAAAGGGGAAAATGGCTGCCTATTGATCAAATTTGGCAGAGCCTATATGATGTGTAGGTAGGTGGGTAGGGGGTGTACCTATTGTGGTATTGTGTGGCTTACCGTTTTGGTGTATAGCCTTGCATCGTTTTGTCCATATGTTTATTTATATTGAAGAAGATATTGTGTAGGATGTTGATAAATGCTAGTGCTAGCAAGTCAGTGGTGATATGTATGTCATCAGGATTAGATCTTGGAGTATTTAAAGGTTGGGTGAGTTGGATTGGGGTTGGATAAATATGGTGGTGTATTTTGTAAATATGTTGAGCTAAGACAGATGTATTTGATTTGTTGAGCAAGTTAGCCAGTGGGTGTTATCTTTTGTGCTAAGCTTGCATCTATTGCAGGTGGGGTTGGTGTATGTTTTGAGATATCTGTGATGTGGTTAAGTAAGGTTAGTAGTTTATCGAATAGGAATTTTATTTTGAAGTTTTTTATTCAAGATCGTTTGGGTAGGTAGTTTTGATATTGGGTTTGTTGTCCAGGTTGTGTAGCAGAGGTTGTTCTAGAGGCTGATCCTGTTAAGAAAGTGCCACTGGGCTGTGGTAGTTGCATTTTGGATATGCTGGATAAAATGATGAATTTTGTATTTAATTAGTATATTGCGCTAGAGGATGTAAAAGTTGTTATTATCGATTGTAATAATAGAAGTTGAACTTTGTATTGCTGGAGGATATAATTTTTTGTAGCTTTGAGTAATATTTTTTTTTATTTGATATTAGGTTTTTAATATCTTGATATAAAAAGATTATACAAAATGTAGTCAACCCTATTTATAAATATATACACTATATATATTCTTTCTAAATATCTATATTATATTATTAATTAAAACTAAATATTAAAATTATTTATATATAAAATTTTTAAGATTATAATAATCTTCTGATTTGTTTCTAGATTTTAACTAATTGATATTAAAAAATTTTTTATTTAAACTGTTTAATAAATTCTGAATATCCTCTATTTAAGCCAATTTTTTAATAGCAATTGGATTATCTAATTAAAAACTAATTAAAAAATAAAAACAAATTGGATTAAATTAAAATTACCAATTTTTATCTAAGTTTTAATTAAATTATAATTAAATTAATAATTTTAATAAGTTATAAATTAGATAATTACATATTCATAACTATTTAATATTTTATTCTAAATATCCTCTATTTAAGCCAAAATTTTACAGCCAATCAGAATGTTAATTGATTCTTATTTTATTCTTATTGAATTTTATTTTACTTGTGTAAGTTTATACTATCATTTCAAAATAGAAGCTTTTGATCGATCTAAATCTAAAAACCTAGAATATTTGAAACCTATTTAGCAAGATTTGAGCAAAAAGGTAGTAAAGATTTTTGATAATATTGTAAAAGCTAGAACTGAAACTAAAAAACTAAATGAAAACTTTGAGGCAAAAAAGGTTCACCAACCTGGCTACTAGAGTTATATCAGAAAAAAGATTCTATATTATAGAATTAGAAACCAAAAGAAGTAAAATCAGAAAGTATCTAAAATTTAGAAACAATAACCTATTTAGACTAATTAGTTTGGTAATTAGAAAGAGATTAGTAAAAGAACTGGTTTTATATAGATATTAGAATCAGAATAAATCTTGTAAAAGTATGAATATTAAAATTATACAGTTTAATAGTTAGCTCTAATAAAGTGTAGTAACTTAGTGAAGTTGGCAAGTTATCGCACCCCAAGCAGCAGGACTGGAGTTCGAATCTTATCAGCGATGAAAATTCGAATTTACAGAAAATGCATTTGGAAGACTGTATCTTATTAGGTTATAGAACCTGTAATGAGGGTTGCACCAGCTTGTACTGAGAGGTAGTGGAACATGTAGTGTGATGTATGAGTTATATAAAACCCGAGTAAAGCTACTGAATAAATTTAGCGAATTTACAGAGTATGGAATCCTGCTTGGCAAGACCCCG